GATATATTTATTCAGTAGTTAATTCAGAAATAATCTAAAGTACTTTATTAGTTTTCAACCAGTATTTGTTTTTAATTTTTGGAAAATAGTACCATAATTTGTATTTAGGAGATATTTTTCCAAAAATGTTATATGCATATCAAATATAAACTAATAATCTTATTCCTACTTTTGCATCTAGAATTCCCACTGGTTTTAAAGGTATCATCAAGTAATAACTGACTACATTATAATATGGTGATTAGCTCCATGGGCAGGTAGAAAATGACAGTAAAATCAACCACAAAGATCTCACTTGGAAAATAATTACTGAAAAGACAGTATTTTGCACGCTCATATTAGATTTTATAAAATGCTAAGTACACACTTCAACAACAAATGCAAGAGGAATTAAAGAGCATGCTCAGAATGCTCTGGAGTTATCAGGAGGCCTTCAGCAAGGAGTTGGAGTTTTAGCTACAGGAGGAGATAGATACATAAAAAACACAGTGAATTAAAACCTGGAATGTGTGCACAGATAATGATTTATCTTACCTTGTGTAACTCTTAAGCTCATATTATTCATGATTTTCTTAGAAATTATAATTTCCTCATAATTACCAAAACTACTATTAGTTATGTATAAAGTGCCTCATGCTTCATATGTGCATCACCAACCTATTTATCGTGCATAAGCTTAAGTCCTGCCATCTTAAATATTTTTAATTAACAGCTCCTCTCAACATGTTAAAAAAACATAATCATGATAATTTGGCATGAATTCATCTTCTCAGTGGCCAACAATGTACTCCTTAAGCAAATCATTATGTTTTTGAGCTCATGATTTTGTGCACACCAGATCATGAAGGAACCAGTATTCCTATTTCTCAGGGGGTATAGTGTCAGCACATCAGATGGTTCTTAGCATCACATTGCCACTCTCCTAGGTGTTTGGGAATCCCCTATCTGAAGCTCATCATTCTACTTCTCTTCCTTAGGTTGTGGAAATTACAAGCCAACTCAGTAATAGCCAAGCATTGTACTCCCTTCTGTTCACAGCACTTGTTCTTCCCTGTTCTCCATATATCCCTTCCTTGTTTTCTCTATAGTTCAAGGGCAAGAAGATATTCTTGCTTTCTGACTCAGGTAGAACACAAATCAACTTTCTGCTCCTTCAAGCCATCAGCCATCACCCTTTCTTCCCTGAATGCTTCCTTTTTTTCATCTTCAAGGGAGCCTGCTGGTTTCCTAAATGACCTCTTCTCTATAATAAATTGAAAGAACTTTGTAAGAGGGTTCTTCTAAGGTTCTTCTGCCATCTTATTTACAGTTTGTCTTGTTCCACCTAGTTTGTGTGCATTCTTCTTCTCTTAATTTGAGCAATTAGTCTATATTTTGAGAGATGTTGTTTAATCCTAAAATAGCAATTGGGTTCTACTAATTAACCATACGAGAGATTTTTTTTAACACACTTGATGTTTTAGTGCCTCAAGCACACTTTTTCTTGAGCTTCACAAAAAAAGTTTATGTTGCCTTATTATTAATAGTGTAAAGCATATTGTGAATTATTAACTCTTATATTACTAACTTGTATTATTAAACTTACATCAGCATTATACCTTCCAATTTTTCCAAATGTTTTGCATGTGATTCCTCCTTTTATACACTTTTGACTTATCAATCCCAGTGTGGCTGAAGCATAGTGACCAAATGGGAAGTTGTGGCAGTTAAACTGGAGAAGGCCAGGGCTGCCAGGGACAGGGTTGAGGTTGAACCCCACACAGGGCCAAAAGGGCAGAGGGAGCTGGAATCCAGCCTGTGCTCTGCTCACCAAGTTCTGTGCTTGGCATGCTACTCTTCTCATTTAAGGAGGGAGTGCTTTGTCAGTTTACATGAAGGTGTCATATGAGCTGGTAGTGGCCCAGTAGAGTAGTTCAGAAGTTTTGATTTTATACTAATGCATTAGAAAACACAAAGAGAGATTAAAAGATTATAGTTTATATTTTGTAAAGAACACAGTGCTGTGTGTGATATGTTGTGGATTGGAGAGAGGCAAAAGTGAAAGTAAGGAGGCCAGTCAGGAAGTGATGGTGTCTAGGACCAGGTGGTCAGGAAGCCATGGTGGAAGGAGAGAAATGATGGATTCAAGGCATCTTCTAAAGGTAAAATGAACAGGGCTTGGAGCTGGATTGGGTGTGGAGGGAAAAGGAGAGAGGTGTGAAAGATGATACTCCAATTCCTGACTTGAATAACAAGATGGGTGGTAGAGCTGTGTTCTGAAGTGGAGGAGGGCTGGGTGACAAACAGGCCAAAGGCAAGGTGTTGCTTCAAGATTTCATTGCAGGCACCTGTGAGTTGTCTAAATTACTACCAGGAGACAAGTGAATTTAAGTAACTGAAATTCAGAAGAGCATATGTTCTTTTTTCTGAGTGCCTCTGAAGCTTTCTTTGTCATTAGCAGTCTGAGAGCAGCCCATGTGAATAACTCTAGAATGTTGCTTCAAGATCATCTGTGGTCTTTTACCCAGGCAATCCAAAAACTTATTTTGAGAGAGCCAAAATAACTCCTTGCCTTCAGTACTGTATAAACATAATTTTGCTTTGGGGCAAATGATAGTCCCATACTCACTATAGTAAAACCAATTGACCCCACACAGGGGTTTATCTTTTATGTGTTTTTATTTAATTTAAAGGGCTTCCTAAGGCCAGGCATGGTGGCTCACACCTGTATCCCCAGTGCATTGGGAGACTGAGGAAGGGGGATTACTTGGAGTCAGGAGTTCAAGACAAGCTTGGGCAACAAAGCAAAGTCTCATCTCTGCACCAAAAACATCAAAAATTCGCTAGGCATGGTGGCACACACTTGTAGTCCTAGCTACTTGGGAGGCTGAGGCAGGAGGATTACTTGAGCCCAGGAGTTCGAGGCAGCAGTGAGCTATGTCGCGTCATTATACTCCAACCTGGATGACAGAGACCCTATCTTCTAAAAAAAAAAAAATTTTTTTAAAGGTGAGGGGAGTGCTTCCTGTAAACTTTCTTAGCAAAATCTCTGTGTCTTTGTGCCCTGGTTTCAGTATTCCCTTGAGAAATTTAGTTTAACGTCTTTCCTTCTCTTGTGCCCTGAATCACACAGTCACAGTCAAGTCTGACAGTTTTTTCCCTATTTAACTGTCATTTACCCCCTCTTAGAGTTTATAATCCTGGCACAGTGTAAATCTAGAGCCAGTCTGTCACTGGATCCCTTCTCTAATCTCATTATATGAACCCCCAGAAGTGAAAGACTCTAGTACTCATAGATTTGTTCTCTCTCTTGCTTCAGTAGGCAAAGCCAAAACCAATGGTTAAAAACCACATGGAGAGAGATGTTGGCTCAGCTACAGGAAAAGCTGCCTAATGCTTAGCGCTGTCTGAAAAATGGAAATGCCTGCTAGGGAAGGAGTGAGTTATGGTTTCTGGAGGTCTGAGACACACAGTAGTCATTTGGTGTAGATTCTGCAGTAAAGACTGAAGCATCAGAGTGTGGAAGTAATCTCCACTGACTGTTGAATTCCTGCTCATGTCAAAGTTTTACACAGATGCCTCACCTCATGTTATCCCATAGCAACCCCCAAGGGAACTAGTTATGACCCCCACACCAGGAGAGGTTACAGCCACAAAGTTAAAATCACTCAGTTAACAAGTGGCAGAGCCAAGATTTAGAGCCAGGATTTAAACTCAAATCCATCTGCATCCAAAGTCCTTGTTTATTCTTTTCACAATTCAGGGAAGCATGAGAGATTGAATTAGGGATTTTCTAACACAGTGATTCTGAATTAAAATATGAATATAGATGTCCCTTGACTTACAATGATGGTGTCATGTCCCAATAAACCCTGTTGAACATACTGGATGTTGATAATGGGCATTTTGTAGACAGGATATGATGTGAAAACACAAAACACAGCATCCAAAAATTACTGGCAATGCAATAGGCAAACTGCAGAGTATCAGTTGTTCACCTTCGTGATGGCATGACTGACTGGGCGCTGCCTGGCTGTTGCTGCCCAGCATCAGGGGACTGTACTATGTATCGATAGCCTGGGAAAAGATCAGATTTCAAAATTTGATATACGGTCTCTACTGAATGCATATCACTTTCACACCATCGTAAAGTCAAAAAAATCCATTTCAAACCCTTGGAAGTTGGGGACCACTTGCACAGGCATTACTGACTATGTTTTCTTCTAATCATCCTTCAGCCTCAGCCACATTAAAATGACAAGCTGTGATGCCAAAACCTTCTATGACCTCCATCAAGAAAAAGTTGCTTGAAAAATTAACTTTTATACTTTTTGTCCCCTGACTTTTCACCAGTACTTAGTCTGAGGGCCTCAAAATCTGTTGTTTTTAAGTTTTCTCAACTGGCAAAGACTGAATTTATAGTATAACTGAGTAGACAACTAAGCTTTTAGTATTTCTGACAACAGTCATAATATATAGTTCTAACTTCTCCACTAATCTTTTCTTTTTTTTTTTTTTGAGTTGGAGTCTCACTCTGTCACCCAGACTAGAGTCCAGTGGCCGCTGCCGGCCACCGCAGCCTCGATCTGCTGGGCTCCAGCGATCCTTCCGCTCAGCCTTCCAAGTAGCCGGAACTACAGGCACGCGCTACCACGCCTGGCTAATTTTTTTTGGTTCATTGTAGAGATGAGGTCTCACCAAGTTGCCCTGGCGGGTCTCGAACCCGCGGGCTCAGGCAATCCACTCACCTCAGCCTCCCAAGGCGTGGGATTACAGGCTGAGCCACCAAGCCTGGCTTCTCCACTAATCTTTCAGGTCTTAGAAGATGGTGGAATATTTGGCCCAAGGTCAATTTGTCTGGCCCAAGTTCTAAGTCAGATGTCTTTAATACTAGAATTTTTCAAATTATTTCTTTTAAAATTTAATGTCAGAATTTTTTTAAAAATTAGATTTTGGAAATAAGCTGAACATATTTATCTTAAGATAAAGGTTTTATATGTGTGTTAAATTCTGTTTTCTAGATTGAAGCTGAACTCACCAAGGAAAGGGCCCAACACTTAGTGGAATTTGAGGAACAAGTTCTTCTCTTTAAGGAAGAAGCTAAACTGGAACTTGATATTGAAAAAGAAAAACACCAAGAAATAATCCAAAAGTATAAGAAAGAACAAGAGGAACTACAAATGAAGGTCTGTAATTATGATGTTCACCAGTATTTAATGTTGAAAGAACAGATGTAGATTAGTTCCTCCTAAGAACACTACAGCAGGTGTAACTTTTAGCTATACAGGTAAAGTGATTGGCCAGTTCTCCAGAATAGATATCTGAGATAAATTATACAAGCATGCAATCCAGCTATGTATAGATTTTTTCCTTTTTGAATAAATTTATTTTTAAAACAGCATAAACTATATAATATATAATATAGTATATATCACTATATATACTACATGTAACTATATATACTATATCATATTATAGTTATATATACTCTAATATAGTGTAATATGAGTATATTAAATAATATATCATATAAATGTATAATATATAAATATAATATAACTATATAATATAATTGTTATGGCTAGATATTCCAACACCTCAAATATCCAACATCAAAAGTAATGAGGTATTTTATATTATTAAAAATTGCCCAACAACTAAAATGTATTCCCTATAGTTATAAATATTTTTTATTTTAAACATTTTTGAATGAAGATAAATATTTTTAATAACCACATCTCCCTAATTTTTTTTTTTTTTTTTGGAGTCAAGGTCTCACTCTGTAGCCCAGGCAGGAGTGTGCAGTAGCACAATCAAGCCTAGGCAGGAGTGTGCAGTAGCACAATCACAGCTCACCACAGCCTCAACCTCCTGGGCTCAGGTAATTCTTCTGCCTCAGCCTCCCAAGTAGCTGGGACTATAGGCATGAGCCACCACACCTGGCTAATTTTTTGATTTTTTTTTTTTTTTTGTATGGCTATGTTGCCTAGGCTGGTCTCAATTTCCTGGGCTCAAGCAATCCTCTCATCTCAGCCTCCCAAAGTGCTGGGATTACAGGTGTGAGCCACTGCACCCAGCCACCTATTTTCTTAAATAGTGTGTCCTATATATAAAGTTTGAGACCAGTTACAGTGACTTACGCCTGTAATCCCAGCACTTTGGGAGGCCAAGGTGGGAGGATTACTTGAGTCCAGGAGTGTAAGACCAGGGCAAGATAGCGTGACCTCATCTCTACAAAAATAAAAACCAAAAACTAGCTGGGTATGGTGGCACCCCCCTGTAGTTCCCAGCTACTCGGAAGGCTGAGGCAGGAGGATCACTTGAGCCCAGGAGATTGAGGCTGCATTGAGCCAGGATTGTGTCACTGCACCACTACAGCTTGGGTGACAGAGTGAGACCCCTACTCAAAAAAAAAAGCTTTGTTAAGGTTTTCCTGTTTTTATAAGACTTGAGAATGGTATATGTGTTTGTATGTGTATTTGTGTATATTAATCAAGACCAGTGGGGAAATCATATTTTGAATAAAATCATTAAGAGTCTGTGTTAATTGAGCATCAAATGAAACCTAATGGCCGCTACATTTGTGTACAGGAGGTATGGTACAGCTGTTTCAATTGTTCATTGTGAACAATAGGCAGGACCAGCTACGTGCGCGTACAACCAGTGCAACAGCACAGGGCCCCACAATCAGAAAGGCCTTGTGCTTTGGATTTAATGTTCTACAGATGCTACCTTGAAATTCTTAATAATTTTACCTTTGATTTGTGTTTTGCAAGTGGAATTCTTTTGGAACAATGGAACATGTGCTGTGAGCTTAGAGCCTTGGCTCACCCAAGGTTTCACCCTCCCTAGACACATGCTCACCTCTTGTTTGCCGGCCCCCGGTGTCCAGGCTCCATTGAGTCTCCCCCCACCTGCTCCTCTCACTTTGTGACTGCTATTGCAGTCCTGGAGGGCACAGAAGTCAGGGGAATGCAGACAGGCAGGCTAGAACTTGCCAGATGTTAGTTTCTCATAAGTCAAAAGTACAGATTTTGTAAGTGAAATCTCCTGATTTTTAAATGTTGACTCCCTTTAAAAAATCAAAACATATTTTGTGGCTATGTGAACCTCCTGTCCCAAGGATAACTTGCTCCGTTTCTGTGTCAGCTCTGTTCTGAATGATGTAAACCACTGTTCAGACCTAGCAGTGACCCTCCTTCTCCCTGAGTTAAGTGATGATAATAGAATATTAATTTATAAAATTACTTATTGTGGTGAATAGATTTCTTGCAAAAGTTATTTTTTATGTAAATTTAACATTTGAAATAAATTGTGGATACATAACTCTTTTTAAGTAATAGATCACAAAGTCCTTGGAACTTTGGTCTATGAATGTTTTCCAGATTTTTCGTGGGCTAGTTTCTTGTTGTGCTAATAGTTAGAATATAACAATATCTGTAGCATAATAATTACAATATAACAATATATGTAGCATAAGTAATAAGGATATGTTGCATCAGAAGTAGCTCTGCTTTTCCTTATTTGTTTTTTGTTCTTTGTTTTGTTTTTTAAGAAGAAAGAAAACAAGCAATCTTTTTTCTTCTAAAAACGTTCATGCTGTGAGGGAAAGCTTCTCCAAGTTATTCTCTCATTTATTTATCTATAGGTACCACCTTGAGAGGCAGTACATTTTCAAAGAATTCTGGTATTCTCTAGAACTGCACTGTTCATTATGGTAGTCACATGTGACTTCTTGCATTTTAATTAGATTCATTAAAATACAGTAAAATTTAAAATCAGTTTCTCAGTCACATTAGCCACATCTCAGGTGCTCAGTAACCAGTCCTGTCTTTTGAGAGCTTGTCAGGTGCATCTCTTCCCAAAACAGTGATTTGATATCACATTGTTAGCCTTGGTGAGAATGTTTATAACAAGGATATTAGATACAAATCTGCTTTTTTTTGAGTCAGTTGTTACACATTTACCATCCCACCACTATCAATAGCCACATGTGACGATTGGCTACCACATTGGATAGCATAGAATGTTTCTCTTACCACAGAAACCTCTAAGTAATAGGTCACAAAGTCCTATTCCAGGCTGTGCTATTCCAGAAGGTGGTATCCAAGATACCTCCAGCCATCATACACAAGAAAGAAAAAACATCATGTCAAAGGAAAGCTTACTGCTGTGATAGGAACAGACTGTCACTTCTGTGCTCTCGTTTTAGCATTCCCAAATATCAGGCATTCAAGATCCCAAAGCCAACTTAGTTATGTCCAGTTGGGTCCCAATCTACTTGTCAAGACTTGAACTGTCCTTCATAACTCACTGCAGTCACAGAGGTTTATATATTTTTAAGGGTGCCCAAGTGATTAGTGCTATGCTACTGTATGTAGAAAAATAAAATTTTTGTCTTAACTTTTAAAAAGAACATCTTGAAGGCTTTCATGTGTCACAGGATTTGTTTTCATCTAATCAGAAGGATACATTGATTAATTAGAATAAAACTCTTAAAATCCATAAGAATTTTGTGGTTACCTAGAAACTATTGCCCACAAACTAATATGAGATTTATCTTACAGATATCTGACTTAATCACAGGCGCTACAAGAGATCTAAGGCTGGAAGTGACCACTCTTAAAGAAAAACTCCATGAATCCCTTATTCAATACACTGAAGAATCTGAGTCAAAGGAAAAAGAAATCGAAAACCTTAGAAATTTGGTTGCAGAATTTGAATCTCGTTTAAAGAAGGAAATTGACAGTAATGAATCAGTTTCAGAAGACTTGAAGAAGGAAATGAAAAAGAAGTCAGATGAACTGGAAAGAGTAATGTTGGTACAAACACAACTGATACAGCAATTTAACCAGTCCCAGGAAGAGGTAGGAAACAGATGATCCTATTTTGCAATTAGTGAAAGAGCACATATTCTTTTAACAAACAAACAAAAACATGAAAGGCAGCTTGGTGGCATGGAAAGAGTCCTGGACTGTCAGTCAGGGACCTGAGATCACATCCTGGCTCTGTCCTTAACTAGACAGTCACTCAATCTCTTTCTTTTCTGTAAGATGAATATACTGAACTACATAATTGCTAAAGTTTCCTCAGTACCCAGTTCTGTTGCAGATGGTTATTTAAAACCTCTTAGACTAGAAATTTTTATATGTCTTATTTTTTTAATGTTAAATTTTTGTCAAAGAAACTTTTAGAACACTTGCTGCTTAAGTTCAAAAAATATTTGGACAATATATTTTAAATACAATTTTACTTTAGGGGTTTACCTTCCTGTCAACCTAAACTTATAAGGTAATTTACATATGTTGGTCTTTTTTTTGATGTATGCATGATTATTTTAGCAATGCTTTTATTTAAGCTGGAGTAGACTTATTTTGATTTGAAAACTTTTTTTTCAAACAAGATCTTATTTCTGAACTACTAAGCAGTTTAGAAGTAGTGGAACAATTAATCTGTTCTCTGATCACCAATGCTATGTCACATTACAATATTTGATCCCATATATGACAATATAGCAAATAAATGCAAATAGAGGAAGATTCTAAATGTCAGTGAGAAGTAATATTTTTGTGTTTGTTTTATTGGCATCTTAATAAGGGAATAAGAAGAAAGTGCCAATAGTAATATTATCAACAATTAAATATACTGTATTCCTGCTATCTTCAAATTATCAGCCAAAATAGAAAATGTATGCCATCTTATAATTGTGAAGTGAACCTATTACAAAGAAGTTATAAGTTAAAATATGAAATGGACAGAATACTGGATCAAGAATAATGCCTAAGATAACCCTAAAAAGTAGAAATCATTCACATGTTACAGATGAAGTGACTGCAGAAAGCGGGGTAATTTCCACAAGGTCACACAGAGCTTGATGGAGCTAACATTCAAACTGGAATCTCTATGATATGATGTTCCCTCTTTCAGGAAACCAGAGTCCTTGTTATCCTGCTTGTGTGTTTCATGATGACATCAAGCTTAGTACTTAACATCTCCAGGCCTCAATTGTTGTTATGGTTGTTTAGTTTTAAAATGAAGACAAAACATAACAATAAACACATCACTTACTTCTCCAGATGGTTTGGGGGTCAGTGTCTATTGTTGGAACGCAGCAGCACAGCCTCCTCAAGGCAGGGAGGCACTTCGCCAACTCAGGAGGAGTGGGCAGGGAGAGCACACATGACCTCAGCTCACTTGAGAGACCCTGAGGAGTGGGGAGTGATGCTGATGGGCTGCAGATGAGACAGCAGTAGGAAACGCCAGATGAGCCAGCAAGTTATAGGACAGAAACGTCAAGGCAGCCAGACTTGCAGGTTTTACTACCCAAAGAAATGGTAATATAGAAAGTGAGGAGCAACTTATAAACTAGGACAAGTAGATACAGACAGAAAGATCAAATTCAGTAAATAGATATTAGCATCTCTCTGGGCACCAGGCACTGTGCTAGGTAGGCCCTGATGATGTAATTGTGAATAAGATTGACAGCTGCCACTTCCTGCTCTCAGAGAGAAATTTAAGGGAAAACCTTGCATGAGTAATTAACATCCAGAATGGCCTAAGCTATAATATAATATAATATAATATAATATAATATAATATAATATAATATAATATAATATAGTGAAAAACCATATACTAAAAGCCAGAAAAATTGCCTTAAGAGCCTGTATCAGTAATCTATTGCTTCCTGACAAATTACCCACAAGTTTAGCAGTTTCAGACAATAAAACTGAATTATCTTCTAGCTTCTGTGGGTCAGGAATCTGAGTGTGGCTAAGCTGGGTGTCTCTGGCTCAAAGTCTCATAAAGTTGGCATCAAGCTGTCCACTGGGGCTGCAGTCTCCTCTAGAGGCTCAACTAGGATGGGTATAGGTTTGGTTTCTAGAATCACTTATATGGTTGTTGGCAGGATTTATTTCCTTACAGACTGCTGGCCTGAGAGCCTCAGTTCCCACTGGCTATTTTCCAGAGGTTTCCCCAGTCACATGGACCACTTCACAGAACAGCTCCCACTGTGTCTGCTGACTTCCCTCAGGGCAAGCAAGGGTGCCAGACGGGGAGAGATAGGGTGCCAAGACAGAAGGCACAGTCTTTTTCTAGCCTAATCCCAGAAGTGACATCCCACTGCTTCTGCTTGATTCCATTCATTGCAAATGCGTCTATAAGTCCAAGCCACACTCAGGGTGAAACGACTGTACAGAGTGACTGTCAGGAAGGAAAGAATCACTGCGGGCCAATCCAAGGCATCTGGAGGTGACATTGACGAGAGAAACCAGACTAAAAGTGAAGGGTGGATTTCTCTGTCGGACAAAAGGAGCTGCATTTGGAACTCCTCCTGCTCATTAGTTGTGAAAGGAAGCCAGTTAGGAATGAAGCTTTTGTTTTTTTTAATTGGGCAGAAAGATATAAAACATTGGGTTGGTGTATAAATGATCACGGATCATTAATAGAGAGGAGAAAAGGATCATCTAAAAGTAAAGCTAGTTAACGATATTCTTGGGGGGCCATTTCCTTTTGTGGGGGCTAGGAGGGTAGACTAGGTTTCCCATTTGAAGTTACCAAAATGTCACCTCAAAGTTAAGTAATTAGAACTGAACTGTAAGAGTAAATAATTAAGGCTGCTTCTCTGGCTAAGCATGCCAAAGTTCAGGATATGCTTATAAAAATAGGAAATGAGCCAATAAAAGGGATAAGATTTACAAGCCAGAAAGAACAGAGGCTGTAGCATGTAAAGTGAAAAGCACTACTTTTTTTGATCATGCATTCCAGCCACTTGAAATTTCTCAGATTCTGGAGAAGTAAAGCTGCATTTAAGTGGAGAACAAATTCCTATTAGACTGAAAATAAATTAGTGGTCTAATAAGGTGGCTAATTAGGAGGAGGAAAGCCATGTTCTCTTTTAAGAGGCCAAACAGTGGGTGGACTTTGTTTTTAATTCTATAAAGAAAATTCTCAAGGATGGGAGGAAAGCCAAAGCCTTTAAAGGGCAAAAATGGGCCTTCCTAAGTGGGGCAGGGACATTGAGAGCGTCCGTAGAAGCAAGAGCACCAGGTACAGCAACAGAAGGCAAAGGTCAACAAGAAGACAGAAGATGGGAAAGAAAACTGTGTTGCAAATGTAGTAAACAAGGAGCCCTGGACACTGTTGCTTGGAAAAACACACATATGAAAAAATTAGAACATCGAAAAATAAATTTTAAAAAAGGAAGTGAGAAGAGAAAGTTAATATGTTAGAGCACAGCACCTTATAGTAAAACTAAGTCAGTAAAATCATGTGCTTCTGGGAGCCAGTTTTCCTTCCTATGAGCTCCATGTAAGTGCCATCAAGACAGTGTGAACTGTTGGGGATTTTGTGATCCACTGGAAGAATATGGTAAATTCAAATAAAAAGCTCACGTATTGCCACTGAAGGAAACCTATTGCTCAGAAAAAAAAATTCAAAATATTACTCCTCATTGACAATACACTGATCACCCGAGAGCTCTGATGGAGACACACAAGGAGATTAATATTGTTTTTATGCTTACTAACACAACATCTGTTCTGTAGCCCATGGATCAAGGAGTAATTTTTATTTTTAAGTCTTTTTTTTTAAAATAGGATTTTTTGAGGAGACAGAAAAGCTCCCACAGTGAGAGGGGACCCAAGGGGGTTGCCCAAGTCTTACTATTTAAGAAATGCATTTCAAAATGCTATAGCTGCTATAGATAGTGATTCCTCTGGTGGGTCTTGGCAAAGTAAATCGAAAACCTTCTGGAAAGGTTTCATCATTCTATATGCCATTAAGCACATTCCTGATTCATGGGAGGAAGTCAAAATATTAACATTAACAAGAGTTTCAAAGAAGTTGGCTCCAACCCTCCTGGGTGACTTTGAGGGTTCAAGATTTCAGTGGAGGAAGTTACTGCAGATATGGCAGAAATGGCAAGAGACTTAGAATTTGAAGTGGAGGCTGAAGATATGACTGAACTGCTACAGTCTCATGCTGAGCAGTTGCTTCTTATGGATAAGCAAAGAAAATGATTTCTGGAGATGGACTTTACTCCTGTTAAAGATGTTGTGAACATTATTGAAGTGACAACAAAGGATTTAGAATATCGCATAAACATAGTTGATAAAGCAGTGTCAAGATTTGAGAGGATTTACTACAATTTTGAAAGAAATTTTACTCTGGATAAATTGCTATCAAACAACATCACATGCTACAGAGAAATCTTTCATAGAAGCAAGAGTCAATTGATGTGGCAAATATTTAAGTAATTGTCACAGCTACTCTAACCTTCAACAACTACCGCCTTAATCAGTCAGCAACCGTCAACATTGAGGCAAGACCTTCCACCAGCAAAAGAATTATAATTCACTAAAGGCTCAGATGATCATTTGCATTTTTAGCAGTAAAGTATTTTAAATTAAAGAATGTACATTGTTTATAGACATAATATTATTATACACTTATATGTATTGGGAAACCAAAATATTTGTGTGACTCACTTTATTGCAACATTGACTTTATTTTAGTAGTCTGGAACCAAACCTGCAATATTGCCAAGGTATGTCTATACTTCTGAAAGAGGAACAGAAGAGTTTACCTGAAAACAAGACTATTTGAAATATTACAAAAGGAGCAAATAGATTCTTAGAGATGCCTTCTCAATCCCCAGGCATCCCCTACCCACCATCTGGACAGGATACCAGAGGTTCACTCTCTAGCAAAACTGAATGAGAGAAGCATTGGACTTGAGGATAAAGGACAGCAGAATATGGGATAAAGCAAGAGCTATGTTGAAAGTGTGTATTAAATGGTGATACCTCCCAGTACCCTTTACACACTTCCCAGGACACAGGCAACCAGGCTTATATAGCCAAGA